AGAGTTGAATACGCTGATGCTACATTGAAGAACTAGTTGGAAAATTGTAAAGAGAATTTTTTTAAGGGTTGTAAATCATTGAACCAAATGATTCAAAATTAACATAGAAAGCTAAAAACATCATTTGGTTGCAACATCACACTATTAGAACATAAATTCAAAAATAGTAATTTGTATTCATAATTAGTTGGCAATATAACTCGAGGGATTGAAATTTTTTATCATAAAGTTGTGCAAGAGAAGAAAAAAGGTCTATAAGCTCCAAGTGTTGATTTACACTTAGAAGAACATTGCTCTTCCATGTGCTTACGCACTGGAAAAGGCTCCGTTTTGATGATCATGGTATGATTAAATAGGGTAAATCAAATATACATTATGACAGGATGGGAGATGATTCAAGAGAGATTTTTGAAAAGTGATTATAACATGAAATTGAACATCAAAGTGCAAATTCAGAAGATATCCAATCCATAAACCACATTTATGAAACCACCCACGAAGTTGGTAGAAAAAAATGGTACTTTTAAGAATGTCAAACCAACATCGAGTGATAGTTTAACCAAGCGGTCTTTATCATATTTTGAACATGTCGACTCACTTTATTCATATTCTCTAATTTCACAATCTAAACAAAAGTTTATTAAAGGTGATTGCATCAGCAAACTATTGTCATCACAATTACCAAAAATGATATACATAAAGATGTGCCTGTTTTTATGCACTAACACATTGACCGAATTGTAGATATTAAAGGTGATGGTAATTTTGTTATCACTCGATTTCATATTTTCTAAGTAAGGGATAGGAGAATCATACACTTATTTTTCAACATCTTATAAAAGAGTTGCAGGCCCACAAGCAATCATACACAAGGTTATACGAGAAAAAAGAACAATATGATGAAATACACGATGCTCTTATTCCTTGTATTAAAAGTGTAACATCAAAGGAAAAATGGATGTGTTTCCTTGAAATGAGATATCTTATAGAAGTGCGTATAACCAAATGTTTATTGATATGATAAGATATGGTTTCTCAAAAATATTTCCCCACTTCGAAGTGTCCCGCCTCAAAATCCAATCGGACGAATTATGTGTATTAAATGGCTTTTAAAATCACAATATTTTGTTCAATTTTATTTGAAACCAGAGTCTCCTATACCACAAACATCCCATGAGTAGACATCTCATTCCGAAAAAGATTTGAAACTTGGTCAGATACCTTTTGGATATGATGGAAGAGTTTTCCAAGTTTAGCGATATTGAAAAATAATCAAATCAGGAAAAGTCAAAGACAAAATCACTCATAGATTTAAGTAGTAACACATTTTTTTATACATTTTAGCTTTTATCTTGCCATACATTTAGGTGGTGACACATATTTTAGGTGTAATGCTAGTTAGTTGTTTTCATGGGTGTAAGCTGAATAGATTTTAATGTGTTTTATTGTATATCTAATATTACTTGTATAAATATTGGAATTAAATTCATCACTTTTGAAGAATTTTTAAGGTACGTTGTTCCATTTAGTGTTACAAAGGGTTTTCATTTGGCACAGTGTTTTTTTTATTTTGGTTTCACATGGTTTTTGTGTTGTTTTTTTGTTGTTGTCTCTACTTAGATCTCTATTATTGAAATGGTCAATTTGTGTTTAGTAGATCAAAAGACAATATAAATGGTAAAAAAGTTGTCATATTTGTTCCAAGTATGAATGTGTTCTTCTTAAAAAAAATTCAATACGTTCCAAATCTAATTTATGTTTCTGCCTATGTTAACATACAATTTCATGTTATTTTATAATAAACTCATGTACATACCACCACGGTTGGTTGTATATTTTTATTGAGGAGTAAGAAAAAACAAACAATCCACATATTTTATAATAAACTCATGTACATCCCACCACAATTGGAATATATAACCGTCGTTATATATATATATATATATATATATATATATATATATATATATATATATATATATATATATATATATATATATATATATATATATATATATATATATATATATATATATATATATATATATATATATATATATATATATATATATATATATATATATATATATAACAATGATTGTTTAAGATATGTGATAGGTGTTGTGATAGGTAGCGGATTATCTGGTTTATCACTACAATCAAACGTTCGTGGTGAAAAGCAGCATACTTACAACCACACCCTACCTTAGCACAGTTGGTAACCGTGAAGGTATTCCTTTTTCAACTGTAGTGAAAGGGTTTTTACGTAGTGGTGCGACAACATGAAACTGCACATTAAAGAGAAACTGAGGAAGATTGTCTATCCAAAAACCAACTATTTTAAACCACCATCGCAACCGATAAAAATAAAGGGTACTCCTAAGAAGTTCAAACCAACACAGAGTGACAATTCAACGATATCTCCGTCCTATTTCGAACATGTTGACAAACTTTTTCTGCATTCTCCAACTTCAAAATGTCAAAAAAGTGTTTTCAAAGGTGCTCACATTTACAAACCATCTCCTTCACCATATTTACCAAAAATAATATACATTGAAGAGATTCTAGATTTCATGTATAAATACATTGAATGGATGTTGAGGTTATTAGCGAGAGTAACTGCAGTTATCATGTTCTTTCAGCTTTGCTCAATAAAGGAGAAGAGAATTATACACTTGTTCTCCAATTACTTCTCTAAGAGTTGAAGGCACATAAGGAATCATACATAATGTTATACGAAAAAAAAGAACATTTCAATTCAATTCATGAAACTCTTATTCCTTGTATTAGCGGTCCGATACAGGAGAAAAAATGAATGTGATTCCTTGAAATGGATTGTCATATAGAAAATGCATATAATAAGGTGTGTATTGATCTAACAAAATATGACTTCTCAAAAATATTTTTTCTACTTTGAAGTGGCTCACCTCAAAACCCAACTAGATGTATTATTTGTATTTGATGACTTTTAAAATCCCTACATTTTATTCAAGTTAAAATCACAGACATCACCCTAGTGGACAACTCATTCACAAATGGAACAATTTATCAAGTTGAGTGAGATTGAAAGAAAGTTAAATAAACAAAAGTCAAAGGTGGAACCATCCAAGATATAGATTTAGGTGGTGACACATGTTTTGATGCATTTTAGTTTTTATATAACAATGTATTTAGGTGGTGACTCGTTTTTTATATGTAATGTTAGATTGGTATTAATGATATAAACTAAAAAAATTGATACATTTTAATGTATATTCCACTTTTCTAACTTTTTTTAAATTTGTGTGTTTCATAACACGTATTATATGAATAGTTAGGGGTGAATCCAAATATGTACTTCTGGATGCGTCCCATTTTCTATTAAAAAAATGCTAACAGAAGTTAATTTAAAATTGCATTTTCATGTACACCTTGATTTTAGTAAACGAAATAGGGTGAACTCGAAAGTACATCTTCAAAAAATTCTTTGAGACATTATTGAGTTTCTAAGGTACATATTAATCTAAAACTTGTATAAATATAAGTGTCTCTCATGTTCTTAGCAAAATCACACACGGAATATCTAAATATTCATATCTTACTTTTGTCTACTTCAACAACGAGAGGCTCCCTCTTGAATTTAGTTTCACAAATATCACTCGTCTTGTCGGTCTAAAATTCACACTAGAGAATTTGCTGCGGTACCTAGACAATCGAAGAGTTGTAAAACTCTATTATTGCTCACCATCGATTGACAACGAAGAGAAGACAGTTCATCAAGTTTGAGCCGGAGATGGATGAAAATTTAACTATTATGTGGATACATTTCAGTGTTCCGAAATAAAATGTCCGATTGAGGTGGATGCAAAAGTTGTGAAATCGACCGAAAATAGTATAAAGATGTTGAAATGTCCTCCGCCATTATTGGATGATAAAATAAAATGTTAGATTTACATTAAAAATTATCTATATAATATTATGTTTTTAATGTACGTCAAAACAATTATTGATTAACTTATGTTACTTTTTTTGCACTTCTAGTTTGTCATAGTTTGTCAAACGCAACGATTTCTAAAATAAAGTTCTGAATTTTTTTTATGATGTTTTGGTGTGTTCAAATTCTGAGTTTTATGGAATATAAATTTTTTCAAAAAAAAAAGTCCGAAATTTATCGGATTTCTACAAAATATAGACTACATTGGATATTTTTGTCTATTGTGGAGTTATTTGGTGGTGAGATTGGAAGGATCAGGTATGTGGTACAGAAAACATCACTTCACATATTTTTAGATACTTGAAGTTCACCTAACTTATTTATGTTTTGTGGCTATTTCGTAACCAATAATTCCAAACATTAACTTGATATTGATATTATAGTTACCTTGCCATGGGTTATGAGCAGTTATGCGGTCACTTTATAATCAACACTGATATGCTAAATGATAAGGTTTTCTTCCTGCCTAACCATAAGTCTTGAATTCGTTCCGAAAATGCAGCAGTGTTAAATATTTTGAGAAATAACTGTCGTTTATTGTAATTTCTCCCCAACTCAGAAATTATTTTCTGCAAATGCGCACAGAAGATGTGTCCGATTTCTACTGACAAATGCATTTTTTATCGCAAAGAAAAGTATTTAGTTACAAATATGCATCTCTTTTATGAGGAAAGCTCTGCAATTTATAATGCATATAACTAGCATATTGGCATCTTACACAAGCACATTTTTCATGGTGATCATATGGTTTAATCCGGATTTGGATTTGGTGCAGTAACTGCATAACGCGACTTTCAATCTCAATCCTCTGATCTTAAATAAATAGCTGTGATCGTCTAAATTGATTTTGTTATTGTGTAATCTAAACCATTCAATCTCATATAACCGGACGAGATTATTTACTATGAAAAACGTGCGTTTTTCCCATGGAATCCAAATCCAGATTAATCCTACACTAGTTAGAATCCTAGGAAGTATTCATGCTATACAATTTTTAATTGGTATCTTAATTATTAGATTCTCAGCTTCATTTTTCTTCTTTGGTGCTTTCATCCATCATAAACCTCCAGCTATCCCCTTCTTCTATTTCCCATTGCTTTTTCAGTTCATAAATAGCTTTTGTTGCTGCAGCTGCAATGGCTGGGTTACTATCCTCTGCCAGCCTCTGCAACATGAATCAATATGCATCAAATTATCAGAACGGAAAATATGAAACTATATAGCCCCCATCCCGATATTCATTTTTACGAAAAATGACAAATCACCCACCTGTAATGCCCCCATCCCTGCATTTCCAAGAGTCCACATAGATGGTGCGGATGCCAGTGCCTTGGCTAAAGCTCGTCTAGAAGTTTACATGCACACATGGACGAAAGATGAATATAAACATCGGTCTTTGCATTCATGATTGCTCAAAGATCATTACATTAATGGAAGCTTACCTAGTACCGACGTCAGGGGAGCTAGAACACTCTGCCAATAAAGATACACTTTGTTTACCATCCATTGCATCAAGGTCTATCAGAGTTGTGATCAAAAGCTCAAGCTGCTCCCAGTTGAAACGCGAATTTATTAATATCAATACTTAAATAGTCAATATGAATATCTATCGTAAAGGAAAAAAACTTTATAGCGAATCTAACCTCTTCTGGATCAGTGTAATCAATTCCATCTGCTTCAGAAAGTGCCGATGCCATACTCCAGTAAGCTTCCTATATAGATACTAAAATCTTAGCATATGATGATTGATATGTTTCCTGATTCAGTATGGATTAGGGGAATGTTTCATATAGAAACAAAACGCAAAAAGAAAATGAAGAAGAATAAAGACCTGAAGAGCAGTAATCCGTTCTGCTGTCACATCCCCGAGAAAGGAATTTGTCGTCTTTCCGTTCTTTTCAAGCATGATTCGACCTCCAACATTATTTTCTGAAAGAGAACCCTTATCTCTGAAAATAGGACTGCACCACAAGATTTGTTAGCATAGCAACCTTGGTTCAAATAATATAATCTAGTTTATCAGATTACAGAATTTATTATATGTATGTAAATACAAGGCATTCAAAGTTACTTGACTTACAAGTCATACGTCTTGCTCACCATCATGTCATGGATGTTTTTGATCAACTGCAATATTTATGTAACAGAACAGACTATTAATTTGGTGCTAAAACTTTTGTTTTTATGAAATAGAAAGTTCCAAAGTAAACAAACACTTGAAGAGCATAAAATATCACCTCCAAGGACATAAGGGCATCTTCCATGGCACGTTGCTTGGCACGGAAGTCAGCAAGCCGCAAATCGGCCTGAAAGTTTAAAGATTATATCAAAAGGAATCTTGTATTTTCCGGTCATCCAAATGAATTATAAACCATAAAGCACATATAAAATTAGATAATGAATTAATTGAATATAATCACATGTTTGGGTGTCGTGTTGGGCACACCGGGCATGTCTCCAACAAATAATGAGTACACAAATACCGCACATCGCAAATTATATCAACACTGATTACATATCAAACCAACCAAGACTATCAATTGCAAATCAAAACTGATAGATTAGAGATTAACAGATTTACCTCTAAGGCCCCATCACTCCAGTGCTCATCGGCAGCACTTTTCAATCTGGACTGAGCTATATCCTTCAAGATCTGCAGAGCATATAAAATATAAACAAAGATAAAAAGCATTGTACCGTTGATAAGTACTCTTTCATATTAAACCAGTAAAATTGAAGATTCTAGACAATACATACAGTAGCAATACGATTAAGGCGCTTAGCTTTTTCCTTCACACCACGGTCGATTTTCTCAGTATCCTTTCTTGCCCGAGCTATGCAGCATAAATGAGAATGTAAGTTGACCATATAAGTTTGTGATAGAGACTAGATCAAAAGATAGAAAAAAATGGTGTTTATTGATATTACAATTGCATTACATTCTATGAAGTACTGACAAATACACATAGTTATTTCAATGGATGAAATTAGAGATGCAAAGTAAATGAGCTAACCATCAAGTTTGAGAAATTCTGTCCCTAGAAAAGCAACATCTTGGCGTGCACGCGCATCCATCCTCATTATGCCCCTGAAGAAACAAAAATAGTGGAAGTAAATTTCAAAAAGAAATAATATTTTCTGGTAGACTCAAACAGGAACAGTATCGTTAGCATATAATCAGAATCGGGTAGCAGGAATTACCGCGAGAGAAACCTTGCATCGTTACAGGCAAATCTATAAGCTTCAGCCAAGCCACGAACAGAATGAGCGCGGTCATTTTTCCCATCTTCGGCATGTCTTCTGTACATGTGAAAGGTTCTCTATATGTAAGTTTGAATCTTCCAAAAAATTACATGTCATTATCATAATTTTTCTTACTCATAAGTTGTAACACATTCTTTCTCTTCAGTATTATTTGCTCCGGTTGATTTACATGAGAAAGGAGATGTCTTGGAAATTAAACCTACTGGTTTTCCATTAACAAACCAGTCATTGAATAAGGATGATCTCTCATTGAGCATAAATCCATTGTTCTGATGTCCATGTTCCAGTCTAACTCTTGAAAACTGTACTCTGTTGATCCTGGCTGATGAGGGAAAATAATGTTCTCCATTTGATTTACAAAGTGTCGTTCTATTAGTCAAGATAGGACCGCTGGAAACCTTGTTTGTTGTAAGTGCCATCAGAAGATCAAAGAAAGAATGAGATACACCTAGCTTTCATGGCATTTGAAATATCTCTATTCTGTAGAAATAAAACAATAATAAGAGAATGAAGACATAGAGTTGTTAAAAAAAATGTGACTGGGCCTAACACAATCCTACAAAACTGGCTTGTAGGTGAGGATTGTCTCCACTTATAAGCCCATGCTCAGGCCATATATTGTCCGATGTGGACTCTTAACACACTCCCTCATGCCCAGATCTGGACATCTGGAGCGTGGAAATAAATGGTGGATGGCCCGATAGCGGAAACCTAATAGCAAGTGCCCCAACGGATCTTAAACGAGACTCTAATATCATGTTAAGAAAGTGTGGTTGGGCCTAACTCAACACTACAAAACCAACTTGTAGGTGAGGCGGAGGATTGCCCTCTCTAGTATAAGCTATAAGCACATATCCGGGCCATATATTGTCGAATACGTGACTCTTAACAAGAATCTATATTGGCATAGTGAATTTTACAATCTACGAGTACACTTTTCTGAACACAATTCCATTGAACAATAGGTATAGGTAAAAGCACCCTAGTTTCGTTAACTGATTAAAATTTCCCTTATTAGAAGCTTAAACACTAAGTTAGGGAAGGTAACTCAAATTCTCAAAAATACATATAATCACTTAATTGTGTGTAACCTTCTTTTCAAGATCCATAGCAAGATACTAAACACCATCAATACAAGTGTGACTACAAAGATCTAAAAACTTGAAGTAGAAAACTAAACTATAGAGCATAGATTCATCATACAATAAAACTATGATTAGGAAATTAAATTCAACCAAATAATCACTTAAAATTGCAAAGATGAAGGGCTGAAACATTGTCATAACAAGATGAAATGAAAGCTAAACAAAAACTGACCTGTGGAACAGAAGAATAGTTTTTATTTTTTTGAAGTTGAGGAGTAAAAATGTATTTATATGAGTGATGATTTAGAGAGAAAAGAGATTGAAAGAAGGGAGAAGAAAAGTCGAAAGGAATTGAGAACCACAAGGTGAAGGTGTGGACCATTAGAAGGACAACAAGGAAGAAAAACACAAAACAGGAATGGGATAGAGACTTAAAAATGTGGAGTGAAGTGAAACTGAAGAGAGTGGAATGAAAATCCACGTCATTTTTTGTTTGAGACCGACATGTTTTTATCTACTCTAGTTGTGGTCCTAGAAAATATGTGAAATTCAATTTAGTTTTAAAAATAAATAAAAATGATTGGTTTTGTTTTTGAAAATAAATAAACATCTATTATCTATTATCAACCCTTTGTCTGATATAACCATTATGCCCTTTTACACAAAAAAAAATTTACACTTTCATTTGGATATTTTGGTAATCAACAAATGTCAATTTTAATACACTTCAAACCTTCTCCTAAGCTGCCAAGTGACATTGATCCTATGGCTATCTTAAAAAAATTTTTTTTACCTTCCTAACCATCAAAACCATTTTACACGTCTTTTCTCTCTAATACTCGTCAATGTTTCTCTCTGCTTTTTGTACAACAATTGATTCTTGATTTAATTTCCATTGTTTCTCTTCATCGTTTCTCTCTCACTTTCATTCTTTTACTAGAGTTTCTCTTCTGTTCTATTTTCTCGGTTCCCCCCCCCCCCCTTTACACTGTCGTCGTCCTCTTCTCTTTTGTTTTCACTTCTCTTTCCTTCTATTCTATTTTCTCTTCTGACACCGTCTTGTTTCCACCCTATCGCTCTTGCTTCCACTGCGAAAAGGTATGTGCCAAAATTTTTTTCATTGAAGTTTGATGCTTTCTTTCATAGATTTGTGTTTGTGTTGTAAAAATATCAACTTTTTGTATAGGTGGTTCAATGAAATCAATTTTGTGTTATTCATAGATACATTATCAAATGTTGTGTTATTCATAGAAATCAATTTTATTTCTGCTTTGACCATTTTCATGTTAAAAACCAATACATATTGCAGGAAAATATAGGTCTTGACTTATGATCAAAACAGGAGGGATCCTGGTAATCCAGTAACTGGAAATGGTGGGTCATAGAATCTATGGTGTTTTGTAAGCATGGGCATATTACAGTTTCTTTGCGTGCTTTTTGATGAGGATCTACCCACCTTTGTTGTTTTCTTTCTCATTATTTCTTTCCTGTTTAAATTCAACTAACCTGGGTAGCCAGGTTGACCAGAGTTTGGAGACTAAGATAGTTACCATTGAATTAAAAAGCCGCCAAGATGGTAAGCTTGAAACAAGCAACAATGCGTCTGCAATTAGTTTTAGGGCATGATTTCACCCTTCATACTGTAACATTTTAGGGGAGAGTGTTGCGTATAAGAGGCAAGTATCTCCAAAAAAGCTCTATCGCACAGCTTTATTAAGGAGCCCGTTTGTTGACACCATATTCAAAGCTCAAGAGAAAGCCCTTGAAAAGGTGAAGATGTCTCTGTATTAGATCAGAGCAATGCAAATAGTTGAATATCTCAATCCCTAGAGGAGTCTATTGTCAGCCAAGAGCAGCTGAATATGATCATTTCTTCCCCTAGAAGAGTCTATCTTCAACGAATAGCGTTTGAAGAACAGTCAAACATGATACCTTATAACAAATTCATCCCTATTAAAGTTGAATTCATTCATAACCATAAGCATATCGTTTTATTGCATAAAAGGGCAAATTTTGGGTCATTTTGGTAATTAAACTATCTTTCACCATGATGATCTGAAGACAAGAGTTCTTCATGCCTTCTAGTTAAAGATGTTTAAATAGGGACAATTGCCATACCCTAAATTTTACCTTAAGTTTATTCATTCATGAAGCTGATATGGATGTCATCTTTGTTTACCTGTTTATCTTTGATTTGAATTGTTATAGAAATATACTTTTCAAATCTAGATCTAGGATGATTATCTGTTAGGTTCTAGACTCTAGACATAGATTTAGGCTTAAATTTTGTTTGAGTATCAATTCTTAATGCTCTGTGTTGTTGAGTTGCGTGAGACATCAACAATGAGACAATATGGTTGTTCTCTCAATATTGCGTTAGACATAATCTCTGTTGTAGGTGATACGTGAGGATATCAGACGAATGATTGATTTGTGTTTAACTGATTAGAAGAATGCATATGTTATCAATTGATGAGATCCAATCCCAACAAGGCTCTGTTTATATTTTAAGTCTTTACTTTATATTTTCAGTCTTTATATTTTCCGCTTTTATCTATTATATTGTTGATCTTTCAACCATTTTGTAACCAGAAGCTTAGAAATGTAGATATCGTTAAACGACGTTCTTTCCCTCACACTTATCTCTGTGAAGACGATATAAATCCCAGAGGGAATCCTTATAAATCTAAATTTTTGCATCTTACCATTTTACTACAGTTCGAACAAAATGGCGCTGATATTGGGGATTGGTGTTTAGATATTGAAGTGTATTGCAATAGTTTCTATATTTTTTAGCTTTATACAATTTTTTATATTGTATATATACTTGTTTCCTTTTAATTTTTTTCATGTTTTGATTATGGAGGAATGGTGAGAACTTCTTCTAGATTGGTTGCTATTTGTATAAAAGTATCTGTTGCGGTTAGAATATGATATCAAATTATTAATTAATTTGAATCGCATCTTTAGTTCACAACCGCTCTTTGATTTATCTGAAGGAAAAGGTCAAAAGAGGAAAACCTAATTTTGCATCGTAAAGACAATGCGGGGAGAGATCTAGGTAAGGGGTTGGTTAAGTTTAGGGAAGGTACTAGCACCCTAAACTTCTGTAGTACTCTACAGGAACCTTTTGTTTATTGTATGCTTTTTATTTTATTTTATTATCTGCTTTAATATATATTGAGCTAAGGGATAGAGTGACCTAAAGACCTAAGGGTTAGTCCTAAATTTACTCGGCAAGAAGTCGCATCTTGTGCCTACGTATCCTGGATAGGGAATGGAATCAGAGTAATCGTAGTTTCCCTCGAGAGGGAGGTTAGAAACTTCTTGACTATGGTCAAGGTTTCAATGGGGAATAAGCATATCTTAAGGACATGCTTACGTGGAGTCTTAGAACTCCTATTTCTACGTTGAACTTGTTATTGAAATTATGGTTAAATTAGGGATTCCACGGCAGGAAACCCTAAACAGAGTACGACAACTCTTTAACCTAAAGCTAGGGTAAAGGGCAATTTTGTCCACGACGGGACACCTACGCTAATTAGGGTTTTGAAATGGTTGAAACTAGGGTTATTGACTCGGCGGTCAAACGGCTAGACCTAATCCTTCGGAAGGAACATAACGCTAAATCATGCAAAACATGGCAGAAATAAAGTGCGGAAAGTAAAAAAAGCGTCGCAACGATCACTCGCGTAAATTACAAATCCCCAAAAAATGCAAAATAAAATAAACCGCGACCATGGCCTCGCGTAAATTACATCCATGGAACAAAATAAATTGAACAAATAATTTAAATATAATCTGAGGGAAGAAACAGAGAACATTAGTGAAAAGGGTTAGATAGAAATTCATGGCAAATAATAAAATAGTGAAAAAGAAAAATTACGAATTTGAACGTTTATTTAACATTATTATTATTATATATTTTTTTTTTTAAAAAAAAGAAAATTAATTTAATTTTGAAAATGTTTTGGGTTAATTTTGAAAAAGATCTAGCTTTAATTTTGAAAATGTTATTTTTTTAGTTTTTATTTAAAAAAGTTTTAGTTTGTAAATTTAAAATTTAAAAAACGTTTTAATTTTTATTTAAGAAATGTTTTAATCTTATTTTAAAAAACTGTTTTGGTTTAACTTTAAAAACTTTTTAAATTTTAAAAGAGTGTTTTAGTTTAATTAGAGAGAAATACTTTATTTTTTTATTTTTTAGATTTTTATTGAAAAGAATTTGTTTTTATTGAAAAGAATTTGTTTTTATTGAAAAGAAATTGTTTTTATATTACCAAATGCTCTTATTCTAGGAATACAAAAAAATATTTGCAAAAACATTACGTTAG